GTCCTCTCACAGTAGCAGAATGGGTGGGGCTGGGATGGAACAGATGTCAAATTTTTTCTGACGACGTGGACAGGCATTTTACACCATCTGACGATTTGGTTGTCTATCCCGTTTTTAGGGGACTATGCATGGGGTGGTCATGGGCGCTTTACTTCGCACAGGAACAGTTTCTCATATTGTTGCTGGGAGGATCCCCCGGCCTCTGCATGAGATTCGAGACCGACAAGCTGCTCCTTGCATTGAGACACAGCGGGTGGTTACAGGTGTTTATGTTGATAATATTTCAATCATTGGCAAGACCATGGATGAGACTAGGAGAGCCGCTTGCAGGGTAGAAAAGGCATTCCATGATTTGAATATTCCACTGACCTGGTCGTCTAATGATCCTTCTCCTGTTTTTGAAACTGTTGGCATTTGCTTGGATTTCAAACAGTGCATTGCATACAACAAGTCAAGACGGCTGTGGAGGGCGTTCTTGGCTGGGCGTGAACTGCTGCGACGCAACGTCGTATCAGTGAAATTGTTGGAAATCTGGCTAGGGCACATGACATCCATTTTCATGCTGGCTCCCCATGGATTATCATGCTTTTTTCACATTTACAAATTTGTGACCCTGCATCGCGGAAAGCGAGCGAAGATGTGGAAGACCGTCAGAGCCGAAATCAGATTGGCTTTGGGGGTCATGTGGTTGACTCGCACCAGCATCAAATTCAATCCTATCCACCAACTTGATGCGGGCGACTCATCTTCCAATGCCTTTGCCCTGCTGACCACTTGGGCAACCACGGCCGAGCTCAAAGACACATGCAAATGGAGAGAGGCATGGCGGTTTCGACCTTTTCCGGAATCCCTGATAGATGCTGCTGACAACGGTCGGGAAGAAGTGCTGAGAGTGCTGCGAACCCTGTGCCCAGAGGTTCCAGGGGAGGCAGTGCCTGACAATGAGCTCAAACCTGCGGCGCCTTTTGGTGCTGGGCTTCTTGGCCAATATGCCGACTGGATTGTCCACAGCAAGGATCCCACTAGCTGGCTGCGAACCAGCGCAGTCCGCAGCCAGTTGCGGGCAACTCGACAAAAGAGGGTAGAGGTGGATGTTCCTGCGCTGGTTCGTCCTATCGACCCAAGACTGGTGCAAATGGAGCGCTTTTCACTTTTATGGAGGAAGAGGTGGAGGGATAGTGGGAACCACATCAACGTCAAAGAGGCGATGGTGGCACTCAGTTCGCTCAGGCGTACGGCCAGAGTAGGCAGTTTGCACGGGCGGTTAAAAGTGACACTGTGTGACAACTTGGCAGCTCTTTGTGCTTTCGAAAGGGGGAGATCATCATCATTCCATCTCAACAGGGTTTGTCAGATGGCTGCGGCTTATCAGTTTGCAGCTAGATTGAGGTGGAGGCTTAGGCATATTGAGACAGATCGAAATCCAGCAGACAGAGACTCAAGATTTACAGAACATGCAACCAAGAAGCGCAACCTGGGCCAGGAAATGCGGAAGCCTGTTGCCAAAGACGTCATGGAGGCTGTCCCTCGTCTTGACTGTGCGGGGGGTGAAGCCGGGGCCCAGTGCCCGACAAGCGACAGAGCGACTGCATCATCCTCTTCTAGATGTTCTTCTGGGAAGGGTATGTTTTTGGAAATATTTTGTGGTACAGCACGGCTTACACATGCAATATCACTACAGGGCATGGCAGCTTTCACGGGTATTGACAATATTAGTGGAGCGCATCACGATATCCGGCGTAGACAGACTCAAACAATTATCCTCAGTTGGTTGAAATCTGGCCGTATCTCATACGTACACCTAGGTACTCCCTGTACGGTGTTCAGTAGGGCTCGGCATTTTATTCGTAACCACTTGAGGGCTCGGGAGAGAGAGCGTGTGGGTCTTGAGATGGCTATGTTCAGTGCAGAGGTCATCGCGGTCTGCAACAGATATGGTGTCAAGTGGTCCTTAGAGAACCCGCGTAGTTCAAGGCTGTTCGATTTACCCTTCATTCAACGGTACCTAAGGGATGAACATGTATGTCACGTCAAGTTGGATTTTTGCATGTACGGTGAAAAGTTCAAGGAACCTACAAGTATATATTCCAATTTTCCTGGTCTGGTTACTTTGGGTCGCAATTGCAATCATCGCAAACATTCTATTATCCTGAAAGGGTCCGAACGCATACAGGTTGGTGGTCGCAAGCTTTCTCAACCCCGAACACGTAATGCGGGTGCATACCCTTTTCAGCTAGTGGATGTTTGGGCACAAGCAGTTTCGTCCATTGTTTGTAAAGCAACAAGGGATACAAATGTAGCCAGTCAACAGCTCGAGCATGAGCTCCAGCGTCGATACCAGGAGGGCTGTTCAACAACAAAACAGATTCAAGGTGCTGACAGCACCCACCACTGGTTACACAAGTTCAGTCAAGAGATTGGGGACCCCTTCCGGTTTGCAGTCTTCGGGCAGCACACCCACAAAGAGAAAAAGGACAGAGAGCTCAGATGGCAAAAGTGCTGCCAACAAAAGACTTTCGACCCCAGCAAATTCATTGAGGGCATCACTGCCACGCCACTTGCAGCTCCGAGCCTTGAAGGTCAAAGACCCAACGCTGAACAGATACAATGAACGCGTTTTGGCGTTCGAAGCATACTGCCGGAACAAACGGATTACCTTGTCTAGCCATGACAAAGTTGACAAGGGCCTGACTGAATTTTTTGCTGATCTGTTAGATGAAGGTTGCTCTTATAATGATGCTTCATATGCCTTATTTGGATATATTTTGCTCCGGAGTGACGAAGAGGTGCCCGAGCGAATGCTCTACCCTCGGGCTCGTCAAGCGCTGAAAGGGTGGAACGCCAGATATCCCCAGTCGTCACGGTCCGGTGCTGATCCTTTGATTTGGTATTTGTTGGCTGATAAAATCGCTGAGAATAATCCTCCTATGGCTGCCGCTTTGCTTTTACAGTTGGACACCTATGCCAGACCTTCTGAAATCATTTTTCTGAAATATGGTGATGTCGTTCGGCCTTCTTCAAAGCATTGCCGTTTCTGGGGTCTTATTTTTGGCAACTCAGAATTTTTGGAAACAACGAAAACTGGAACTCAAGATGACACGGTGCTTTTGAATTCCACAGATAGGAGCTTTGCGTGTAATGTCTTGAAAGCAGTGGTGACCAAGCGCACATCTGCTACCCAACGGTTGTTCCCTGACCTTACACTAGATCAGTACGAAAAGGCCATGCAGAAAGCCAAGTGTGAAGTCGGTCTCGGAAAGTTTGACTTTACCCCACATTCTGTCCGGCACTCGGGGCCGTCAGCTGACTTCCTGTCGAAGACCAGAAACGCAGCTGAGATCCAAGCCCGCGGTCGTTGGCGAACTGCTAAGTCAATCCAACGATACCTAAAACCCGGACAAATGATGGCAAAAATGAACAAGATCCCTGCAGCAATTTGGGAGAAAGCAAAAGCCGCTTTACCGCTTGTGCTCCGAAAGATTTCTAGATATTATGGGGCTTCCGCCCGATGACAACAACTTCTTTTTGGGGCATGGGCACAAAGTCGAGATGATTACTGCTGCATTTGATTTTTGATTGTTTTTTTGGATGGCTGATTCATTTGACTCTCACTATCTTTGAAGTTAGCGACTGCAACGACTACATCATCTCTTGGTCGAGAAGATAAGTGCTGCTGCATTTGCTTTTTCACTTTTGGATGGCGTGATTTGACTGAATCTCACTGTCTTGGAAGTTATCGATTGCAACAACTACATCTACTAAAACCGTTGAGGTGATTTCGGCAAAATAGGACGTTGGGGGCACCTAGGTAAAAACCTATAAACACAAATGCATAGAATTTGGCATTCTAAAAACTCAAAATCAGAATAACAGTTTTTTTGAGGTTATAAAAACTCTTTTACACCCAAACATGTTCAGGGAGATCAAAGCACCAAATGGTGAGGCTGAAGTGGACCGTTTTTAAATGTTTTTTTACACTTTTTCTAGATGGTGGATGGTACAAGTTGGGCTGATTTGGGACCATTTACGGACCACACGGAGATCATGTTGTATTGATCACACGCTTTTGGTTGGAAAGGGCGCGCTGGTGATGTGGCATGCATACATTGACAAATGTCATGCTATATACTTATATATGCATTAGTTAGCATTTCACAGTGAACAAGGGATGATTTAAACATATTGTGAGTTTGAAACTTCTACTATTGGCCTCCAGTGGCAAAAGATACAATGAATTAACAGAAGGGAAAGCCCTGAAGATCATGAAACAGTGATATGGCTTGACCATTGATAGACTATCACATTGTGACTCTATCAGTGCAATTGTGTGTGACAAGTGCTTTGCCAGAGCTTTCACAGCGTGATCGCCCCGTGCAATGGATTTACCCTTGGCCTTGGCTGCAAGACCGAACAATGCTGATTCCACGGGCCAATCTTTTTGGTGTGTGGAGCGTGACTCACAGTTACGTCGCTCCAAAACTTGTAACGTTTTCATTTTTCAACCTTGGGCCTTGAGGTTGTTGAAAAGATAGAAACCAACTAACTACAGCCTAAACCGTTTGGATAGTTTCCATTGTTCACCCTTTGGCCCAACTAAAGGTTGTACCGAAAGCTTCTCTTCGTCAGAACCAAACACTTGAAGAAGGATTTGCCAAAGGATCCTGTTGACATCTTGTGGCGGGGACTGCTGGACACGCCGGTTTCCACCACAGTGGATCACAGGGGAAGACGCAACTTTAGTAAGCTTCCTCTCCCAGATCTTCAGGAGTTCAAGCGATCAACTGCTTCACAACTAATTTGCGTAATTTTCCCAATGTTGTTTGGATGTTTAGGGGGTGTACATGGATGTACCCACTTCAGTAACAAACACACGTGTTTTTCAGATTTGGACCGTAACAAATGGCATTTGACTCATCCAATCATCAATCGGTTTTCATCTTGTTCAAGGGAAGTGGTTTCATATTGTAGGTGGAACTGATGGCATGTTTGAAATCTCACAGGTTACAATTGATGGAGTTCACTTGGAGACTTTGCACAACCGCTTTCCTGTGCCGCGAGTTGTGCTTGAACAGGTAGGATGGCCTTTGTCGTGGCATGCGTGACAAATATAAATAGCAGGAACACTTGATCAAAATTCAAGATTACGTTATTATTTTTGATTTGAACATTGGTTGATGATTGCCTATTATGGAAATTCGATCAGACCATATGTAGGTGGTTTGTAAGTTTGGCTATCGGACACGTTGACATATGTATGTGTCATTATGTATCTATATAGTTTAATTATCCCTGGAGGTGCGTGTGCTGGCCAGTGCGTTGGTACAAAATGATGCGGTATGTCCCCTGCCACTACAAATTGAGAATGACCAGTCGTTCATCACCAAGCTTCTTACACATATTATTCAATCCATTGACTCTGGACATTCGGATGCAGCGAGGAACTTGGTTCTCCAGTTGTACGATCGTCTAAAAATCATTTCTGGATATTCTTCCCGGGCTCGTGGTGGGGTGCAATATCAAGCTTCTTACATGTTGGATTCGGTTCTGTTTGCTGACATGCTACGGCCACTGTCCACAGAGAGTGATGTTCTACGAGATGCTTTGCAGAGGACAGTGATGAAACAAAACCATTGTTCTTTGATGTTTCTTGAAAAATGTTGAACTTTTTGACAGTGATGATGAAATGTGATAATGGAAGATTAAGATACGACACCAGCAAAAAAAAACAACAGCAACAGCAACACCACCACCAGTAACAACAACAACGACAAACAGCAACAAACAACAAAAAAACAAACAACAAACAGCAAACAACAAAACCACAATAACAACAACACCAACAGCAACAACACAAACAACAACAGCACCACCACCACCACCACCAGCAACAACAACAGCAACAACAGCAGCAACAACAACAGCAACAGCAACAACAACAACAACAACTACTACCACCACCACAAACACAAGAGCAAAAAACAACATCAACATCAACATCAACAGCAACAGCAACAGCACAGCATCAACAACAACAGCCGCAGCAACAGCAACAGCAACAGCAACAGCACCAGCACCAGCAGCACCAGCAGCACCACCAGCACCACAAGCACCACCAGCAGCAGCAGCAGCACCACCACCACACCAACAGCAACAACAACAGCAACAACAACAACAACAACAACGACAACCACAACAACGACAACAACAACAACAACAACAACAACAACAACACATGCACGAGCAGCAGCAAGAACAACAGCAACAAGAAGAAACAAACACAAGAAAAAAACAAGAACACCGCCACCACCACCACCACCACCACCAACAACGACAACAACCACGACGACAACAACAACGACGACGACAACAACAACAACAACAACGACGACAACGACAACGACAACGGCAACGACAACAACAACAGCAACAGAAACAGCAACAGCACCAGCAGCAACAACAACAACAGCCGCAGCAACAGTAATGACAACAACAACAACAGCAACAACATCAACAACAACAACAACAGCAACAACAACAACAATAACAACAACATCAACAACAACAACAACAACAACATCACCAACATCACTATCAACATCAACAGCAGCAACAGCAGAAACGACAACAACAACGACGACGACGACGACGACAACGACAACAACAACAGCAACAGCAATAGCACCAGCAGCAACAACAATAGCTGCAGCAACAGCAACGACAACAACAACAACAACAACCGCAACAACAACAACAACAGCAACAACAACAACAACAACAACAACACAAGCACCAGCAGCAACATCAGCATCAGCAGCAACACCAGCATCAACAACAACATCGACAAGAACAACAAGTACAACAACATTTGTGAGGACAACGGGGGCGACAACGATGACAACAACGACAAGGACAATTGGATAGTGACGACGACACTGTGAAACTGATGCTGATGCTGGTGATGACGATGAAGATGATGACGATGAAGACGATGATGATGACCATGGCGATGATGATGAAGATAATGATGATGATGATGATGGTGGTGGTGGTGGTGGTGATGGTGATGGTGATGGTTACGATGGTGGTGATAGTAAAAAGACAATCTTATTATTTCATGTGACACATGTGTTTAGATAAATTATTACAGTAGTAACCGGCACTTCCCTGAAATCTGTGCCTGAACTAGGGGTATTGCTCTCATTCTTCATCCAGACCTTCGAGATCATTTGATTTCCCAAAGATGGCGTTTGCCTCAAAGAACTTTGTTACAACAGTTCAGGGTGAATGTGGATTGGGCGTCTATGCTTTATGCGAGGGAGTTTTATTTCAGCGGAGATCACCAGTGGTTCTGTCACCTGCGGCTAGATTCTTCACCACAGTTTGCCAAGAATTATTTGCTGGGTGAGCTAGACAAGGTGTCATTTCCTGGAAGCATTCGATCAGATCTAGCTGACACGTACCTCTTGGTCAAAGACAAGTTACTTTTTTTTGGCAAATCCAAATCTGAACTTCAGCTGGGTATGTTTGTCGACACGGTTGATTTAAAGTCATATGGTAAATCTTCTGTTGCAAATATATCAGCCTGAGGTTTGCGAAAGTCTCCATTGAAGCCCGTATGATGCCTCTGCAGGTGTTAGGAAAGCTAGCCTCTGACACAGCTTTCAAAACAAGAGCATGTGAACGCATGATCGATTTGGAATCCAATGACGGTGTGGTTCAAATGAGACTCCGATCCCTGATGACTGACATGGGAACCGAGGCATCACTTTGGTTGGTGCCTAATTTTAACCAGCCGCATGAGAAATTGTTTCCATTCATCCTTCCGATTGCAGACCTAGACCATGGTTTGCACCATTGCATGCTCGAGACCGTGTTGGGCTATGATGAGGTTTTGTGGTACACATATGAAAAACAGGTTAGTGCACTGGCGAAACTCTTTTCACGGAGGGATGTGGTCAACCGATTTGTGAAGTTCCAAATCCTTGATCACCCTGACATTCCTGCAGCCGCAAAGGAAAGCCTGGCTTCCATGTTTGACAAGCTATGCCCAAGCTTTGTGAAACATAGATGGAAATATTCATTTGAGGTCCTACATTGGTTGAGCAGTCGGCAAGGATTCTTCAAATATTTGCAGCCGAACATTTTGAAATCTGATCATGACTCTGACATGACACGGGACGAATGTGATGCTTTCAAACAACTTCTCAGCGATGACATGCAGTCTGCAAGGTTTTGGGCGATGGCGCATTCAGAGTTGGTCCTGCATACATGGGGGTTTGAAGTTTCAGAATGGCTGCATGCTTGCCCCTGCCACTCTAAAGTGGAGCGGAAAAAAATGAAACCGCCATGTGTTTGGAATGGTCGTCGGTTGATTGAGGTTTCTGGTGGGAAGATGTCAGCCTTTCACACGAACCTATTGAGTTTGCGTCTTGAATCTAACAGTTCTGCGAGCAAAAGCATATCTGATCTCAGAGAAAAAGATTCTGAAACTGCGTCCAAGATTGCAATTGGTTTTGCAACAGCGAAGCAGAAGGTTGCTTTGCGGTTCAAGCAAGCAACTTCGTACTTGGAGACATACCCATGGAACCTGGTGAATGTTCTGTCGTTTCTTTGTGCACCTAATGATGTCAATTGTTTCAAGACTAGCAAAGCCTTTGCATCTAGTTTGGTGCAACAGTACGATGCTGGATTGTTGAGAAACATTGGGCAGTTTTCTCGTTTCTTGGATTCTGCTAACTCACTTGGACAAAGTATGCGTGAGTGGTCATCAAGTGACAGCCCCATTATGAATGCAGAGCTGTATCAGGAACTTTTGGGATATGGGACAGCACTTTTGTGTATGCAGCGCTTGGAAGCAAAGCATCACCTAGTAGCCCAGAGAATGTCAACTGCACGTGGGTCAACGCCCGCCACCATCAGTGCCAATTTGCGGCGTGCGTTGAATTCAGATGTACATAGCGATAATTTCAGAGAGAATTTTCCGCGCTATATGTTCGAATTCAAGAAGCTTGTAGATTTACCATGGCAGAGCAGGGCCGAACTTGCTCGGCTCATTTCAGGCTACCATTTGCACACCATGTTTGCAAACGTGAGTGCAGAACAGGCTCTGATAGCGCAAGTGACACATGAAAGGAACGCTGGTGCCCAAGCAAACGTTCAATGTTTGCGGGATCAAGTGGCTCACATGAAAACAATGTTAGCTGAGGGAGACTTCTATGCAATGCCTGTCGCTGTTGCCCCGAATGGAGATACAACATACAATGTGCTGCAGCTTTTGAGTTTGCAGCCATCATTGAAAAAATATATGCAGAGAGTTTTGAAAGTTGATGACCCGTGGCACCAAAAACTCAGTGTCATGCTACTGGGGCAGGTTGTTGTCAGAGACAATACCAGTGACATCATGCTTGTGGACAATGATTCACCTCTGCCTTTGACAATGACAGAAGATTTTTCTTTTGAAAGCGTATGCTACGGGCAGGTGGAACTCGACCCATCCATCTTTTTCAAGTTTGATTTCAAGCACGTGTACCGGTTTGACACTGTGGACTTCACTACTTCGTTTGTTGGGTTGTCAGATCTGGAGGTTGACGATTCAGAAACTGCACTAGTGGACTTGAAACTGCAGAAACATTGTTACATTTAATGGTATATTTGTTTGTGTTTGTCACGAAGAGTTTTTTTGGGTGAAAACCCAAACAAAGAAACATACATAATCAATATTGATTTCATGGGGATTGGGCTCAACTGCATACCAGGAAACATGTGGAAACTCTGGGTCAGCTGGCGGCTTCAACATCAAAACCAGTAGTTGTCCCACCACATTTGAAACCCGCTGCTGTGTGGTTGGAATCGAAGGAGCTGGCTGTTTATTCTGAAACAGGTCGCTTTGTGTTATTGGAGGATGCGCTGCAAACCAAAACCACACTTCGGAGTCCCAGCTTAGTGAGTGAACCTGCAGACAGAGATAGCCAAAGCCTTTGGACACTGAGACAACAACTTGTTGGTTCTGGCTGGACTGCTTGCAAGCCGGGGGCATCCATCAAGCCAGCAGTCCAAGAGAAAACCTTTTATGTTGACAGTCAATGTCAGTACTATTATATTATTCTGCTTGACTGTACCGTAGCTGTAAATTTGATGTCTTTTTTTGGTGTGTTCTAAAGTTTTCACCCAACTATGCGGGTATTCAACTTTGGTGATGAACCTTTAGTCATGAGCTTCCCACCCTTATGCGTTTTAGGTGGCGTCTTACGCGTTTGCGGTTTCATGCGCTTTCTTCCACTGAGTTCTTTCTAGCATTTCGGGACATGCAAAACAAACCTTTGAGGCCAAACAAGCCAAAGTACTCTGTCTTGCGTTCGTGTTCATGGCATATTATTTTGATGTGCACAAAAAAAACATGTGCTCTATTGTAACAAGTTTCATATTGGTTTGGCATCCACCCAAAAAACAACCTCTAAACCAACAGGAAAATTACACCTCTTGCGTTTTTGACATAAGCAAAACAAACACCAAAAGAGAAACACAATAATTATTGATAGTAACTTTGCATCCGCGGCCATATTTTTCTCACACATAAGTATATGATTTTGCGCTTGCGTGCGTGAAACAACATTCTCTTTGACACCCAAGGTAGTGACAAAGCTTTGTGCTATGAATCCGACAAGATGTTCACCCACAAACACCTGCAGCAGAAATACTACAAGGCATTGCTGTACGCCATGACATACCATGACGAGGTGTCTATATTGAACTTCAATGCAAAGCTGTTATTGGTAGTTTTCTGTTTGTTTGTTGGTTTCTTCTATTCACCAAATATTAGGGAGCCCAGTTCCACTTGCTGTATGCCACTGCATGTAACAAGCCAGGTGCAGGAGGTTCCTATTGATTTGGTGGCTGCTGGCTACGCTGCTTTGTGTGATTTTTTCAGTGGACAATCAAACAAGGATCCACGATTGGACCCGTCCTATTCTCGAAGTTTCAAACAAGACGGGACAGACAAGTTACAAAAATCTTCCAAGTTGCAGAGGAAACGAACTGCTGATGCCACAGGCATATGCCCTGCTAACACGGTTCGACGTTGCGTGTCAAGAAAGATACTTCAAAACTAGTTAAGATAAGTTTTCCACTTTAGGTAATGTGTTTTTTTGGGTGTTTCCTTAATTCACATGTTCACTGTGCAATGCATGTTTATTGACAATTAGTCACTGTGAAACTCAGGCAGATTCCAGCGCCACCAACCAGGGAGGAGCCTGTCAATGACAGTGTTGACAGTATAGTCATTTCTGACACAGAAGAGCCACCAGCGGATGGGGTAGTGTTCCTTCCTCTGAAACTGCATGGTTGTATGTTTTCTTTGCCTCACTAACAAACAACACAACACAGTGTTGGTAGTTTTTATGTTCAAGCTGTTTTATGTAACAGTTACATTCCTTCTGAACCTTTTTTAAAAATATAAAGATAGTTGTGGGGATGCGTCAAATCAAATCTTTCCCAGCTCCAGACTTGTCTTAGGCTGCCAGCTGCACACAATGTGCCTGAAGTTCATGCACCAGATCCTCCTGCTCCAGTTCGTTTATCAATCACCCCTAAGGTTGCCAACGACGGACATCGCACAATTTGTGAGGTTGCCCTACCAGTACTTCGGGAAGTGATGCAAGAATCTGAGTGGGAATCCAAAGTTCCAATCCTGCAAGCCCGTGAAGCATTGCGACGTGTAGATTATGCTGGTAACAGGTTTTGGGGAGCAAACCTAGACTATAGCAGAAAGCGTACAGTTGAGGACATCATTGTCAGCCGCTATTACTCTGAAGTCCGACTGTCTCTCCTGGGTTGAAAAAAGTCAGACTGTCACTTCTTGTTTATGTGTATGTTCTTGTTTCTCTATGCCTAGTATCTTTTGAAGTTTCTTTGCTTCTCCGTCTAAGATGTTTATGTATGCCACAACACTTCATACTCCATGGTGAATTTTCAAGGGTGTATTTCATGAGTTGCCGTTCATTTGCTTTGTGGAATCAACAAATATCTCAGCTATATTGCGTTCAAGTTCAAGTAGTGTTCATTGTCATGGAAGACAATGTTTCTTGGTCCGACGATGCACCAGTGTCGTCGCTGTTGAAACGACGATGTGTGGCAGACGATGATGCATTGTCTGACACTCTTCCTGTGTCTTTTTTGGTGAAACGACCAATGAGAACTAGGAAGGCGGCGTCCCCAAAAGTAACTTGACTTTGCTATATTGTATGGTTGTTTTCCTTACTGCTTGTTAAGCTTAGTGCATACTGTACTGACACCATCCATGGTTCCACTGCTCATAGGCAGCACCTGCTGCGGCAGCTACAAAGAAGAGACCAGCTACACGCAAACCAAAGGCTCGTGCAAGTTGTAAAGTTCGGAAGGACAAGGTAGTCAAGCCAAAGAATTCCAGACGTCGTGGTAATGTTCAGAAGGGCAAGGTAGTCAAGCCAAAGAATTCCAAACGACGTGGTGACATTGATTTTCCAGACACAACAGAGCTGAAAATCAGTGGTAGCACAAGTCCTTGGCAATGGGCATCCAGGTTTGATGCGTGTTTGAAGAAAGCTGGTCATACAGTTCCTCAGCACACAAAGGTACAGGTGTTCACGGAGTTTACAGGATCGAGTTGTGCAGAAGCAGCTGCCGAATCTCTTGGTTCCCAAATGGGAATCAGCTTCGATTTTGTATCAGCTGGTGACATCAACCGCCAATGTCGCACAGTCATTCAGTCCACACGTCAGATACTCAATCATTTTACTGTTTCATGGTGCAGCCATTCACTGAACCAATGATGTTTCATTTCACGTGTTTTTATTGTATTCATTGTTATGTGTTGTTATGTTGGCACTCTGGTTGTCGACTATTATTGTTAGTTGCCTGATGACATAGCTCTATTTAGTTTTCCAGCAGAACCTTAGGTCCATCGATGTGCTGCTTTGGAGACATCACAGAGATGCTCCCTCCATCAGTGAAGGAAGATGCATTGAAGCCATATTTTGAAACAGTTTCTTGTACAAGATTATGAACAACTTCGAAAACACATACGTTATATAGTCTTTTCACAAAACAATATCAAAGGAACCTGGTTTTTGCCAACTTGATTGTTTGTTTGTTTTTTTTCTGGCTTAGGTGATGATTTCTCAGGAGTGGCTGATTGACAACACATTCCTCAGCATCTCATCATCTTCAGATTCGTCCGACAGCTCAAGTGTTCACCTCGGCTGCTCTGTTCTTTTCACCAAGAAACATGTATTGAAATATGCACTTGGTGACGCTCACAAAGGGTGGGTGTTGGTGAAACGAGCCAATTCTGGATTGGAAGGTCTGTCAGTTGATGAAGAGTTCAATGATGCTGTAGAACATCTTGATGCATTGCGAAAGGGTGAGATTGACAATGCTGAATTGCCTTTGGTGTTTTCACGCAGGCTGATGCAAGAATTTGTTCAAAAACGTTTTATTTGGTTTAGATATTGGTTTTTCATTTTATCAACCAATGTTGTACAATGTCAACCAATGTTTGTACAACGTTCGTATAATGTTCGTACAATGTTCGTATAATGGGGAAAATCAGTTCGTATAATGTTCGTACAATACAGAGGCAAAGTTCATACAACATTATACGAACCAACCATAGTTCGTACAATCATTGTACGAACATTGTACGAACTAATTTGCTTTCACTTGCCTGAACCCATGAATCATGCAGGCGTACATTTTCCGAGCTGAAAGACATTATTATGGATGAATCTGTGCAGTTGGACTTTAACTGTTGGTGTTACCGTTGCAACAAGTACTGCAGACGTGGACCCAGGGATGGTGGTGATCATACATTGGATTTGGGTTTATTGGGAACCCCATGCACGGTTTCTTGACGCAAATCCTTTGAGATAGGGGTGCGAGATTATATTTTTGGTTTATCATGTTGTTTCAAGTTTCAAGATTATTAATGTTGTTGAGTTAGAATGCTTGACTGAAACATAAGGATTGGACCCCTTGGGGGCCGGGTCTTGGAGAAGAAGGAAAAACGGTCCTTGCATTTCTCACCGCGTGTTTTGGATGCAGTTATGGCTATTGCTATCCAAGTGTATTTGCATAGTTCAAGTTTTCATTATTCCTAAACATTATACAAGCTTTTGCCGTGTCAAAGGTGCAAGATGATGGTGCAAGCAAGGCCGAAGGCATGGGTTCATGAGAATGTACCTCAATGTCCTGCAAAAGAATTGCTGGCAAGTGTTTTGGGATACTTAGATGCTTTAAGCACAGTTTTGCATTTCTTCAAAATCACAATCTTTGGTGATTGCCAAAATGCCTCACTTTTATGATTTATGATATCCAAGGATCTGTTTTCAATATCGAAGACCCAGTGGAGCTGGATCCCAGACTGGCAGATTTTCCTGTCAGTCGTACTCGTCAATATGTGCTGTTGACACTGAAGAATGAAGCAGAGTTTCTTGAATTCATTGTGGTTTGGTGGTATGATTTATGTTTGTCGAAAGCTTTGAAAGAAACCAGTGTGTGTTCCTAAGGCTGACCAAAAACATTGACGATGTGAAAACTATTTGCCTACATTCCAATGTGGCCGATTGCATGACCAAGTTGGAGGACATCTTGTTTGATGTTTCCGTCAAGCACGAGTTGACTGAATCGTATGTCCAGCGTTTCATGTCTGCAAGCTTGGTCCTACATCTATCTTCGGGTTTTGTTTATTCCTCTCTCTCTCTCTCTATACCATATGCCCTTTCAATTTTCAATAGCGAATCGGTTATTTCTTGTTTGAGGAACTTTATGCTTACTATATACAATGTGGATGTCCCCTGGACAGCTGCAGGTGAGAAGAAATACACGGAGCGATTTCCACAGTGGAAGGTAGCTGATTTCAATCAGAATGCTGATACCCGACCACGTTATGGCATTGAAATTTTGCCTACCTTGACCACAGGCTGCAGCAGAATGTTTCTGCGTAGCCAATCCCGATTCTTGCACGGGGTTGAGCTCATGTTGAGCCAGGGGATTCCAGTGACGAAACAGATTGCACATGTAATGAAATGTAACTTAGTCCAAGCACTTTCTGTTTCCCACAGAGGGCAGTGCTTTTTGGCAGGCAATGCCATGCACTCCAGTTCAATTGGATTCATGGTTTGCTGTGCAGTGATGTTTGTCAAAGTATGATGCCAACAGCGACACGTTGACCAAAATGTGACAGAGTCGCGTTTCCGGGGGAAAAGATATGCGATTTTCACATGTTTCGGAATTAATACATATCATATCAGCTGTTGACTTCACATGTCAATGTGAATTAGCAATATGATGTTTGCAGAGGCAAGCAAACTTTGCGCTCTGACTGTGTGCTTGCTGGTGGTCTTTCCCCTTTGAAATCTTCCAAGGTGATCTATGTTTTCAGGTGGTTTCAGCTTGCTTCCTTTTACATTTCTCTACTGAGAGCCGTTAGTGACTCCAAAGGTTGTTGTGAGTAGATAGATTTGTTTGTCTGCTTTCGACCTCATGACGGAGCCTGGAATCAGGCTATTGTACCTGGTCCTATCAGTCAATCAATGATATGTTCAGTTTGTGTTAACACAATTGTGTATATGCAGTGATTTACATATCACACTCATATTCTGACTGAGGTGCATGGACTGCAAGGAGCAGGTTCCCGTGTCACTGGCCATCACCTTCGGCAAGCAATACAAATGTTCCAAATGCCACAGTTCTTAGCGATATTGCTCCCAGAACATTGATGATTGGAAGTCCAAGACACCCGAATCTCGCCTGTGTAGACCGACTAAACATTTTTGTGATGTGTGATGATCAAGATCTAACGCCAAATGACTTTACTGTTTGTAGTTTTTTTTTGCGTGTTCGCTGTTTGTATGCTTCTATTCCGCTGCGAAAAAATCCAGCAAAGGATGAAAAGAAAGCATTGGTCTTGGCGAATCGCAATACTGGGGGGCGTGGAAAGAAGCGTGAGCTCCAAACCATTCAGTCCGTTTCCTTCTCAAGATGATCAAAGTACTTTTCTTGTACAGAAAAACATGCGGTTTTGCAAAGCCAATCAATATACATTGTATTTTTTTTTGGAGGTGAAGGGTGGCGGGAGGTTGTTCTTTTGTTCTCAGGTTCAGAACATCGAATCGCGTGGTATTGATGCGGGCGCTGATTATTTGAACGAGATCAGGCAACTGTCCATGTTGCATGGAAGAACATAGGAGCTGTCTATGTATATCAAAACAATGTTTTCATACAATGATGCCGGCAAGAACATGTTTGGTAATACAAAACAAATGCCGTACTCAGTACATGTAATGGTTTGGTATGTCCAAGGATATGAGAATGTTTTTGTTTGAAAGTCCAACAGGTTCAAAAAGCGAATGAAGAAGTGGTACAACTTCACCGACAAGGATGCTGATGAAAAGTGGCAAGAAGCTGTTAGGGACCCTCAAGTGCCGAAAGGCACAGACCAGTGGCTGGACTACAATCATTTCTCTCTGAAGTTAACGCTTGAATTTTGTCAAGCTTCGAAATTTGCAAATCCAAATATCCACCAGAGTTGCTTTAGGTAAAACAATCAGGTTTGGGAACCAAACGGTGGCTGCAATTGGATCACTTCGCAGAACTGCCGGATCTCGTACTGAGAATGCGAAAGCAGTGGAGGCCAGCCTCTGGTTCAGGTTTAGGAAATAATACATACTATATAGTCAGGTTTGTATACTTTCGCTTTCCTTGGGAGATACAAACATTGTTGACTTACTGACTTTCCCAATATGTTTTCCTTAGACAAGAAAGTGTAGGTGCTGGGTAAGTTGAAAACATATGCATTCTCACATGTAGATTACAAAGTCTCAGAGTGGTTGATTGATCAATCAACTGTGGCAGGAGCGTCGGACTTATGAAGTTGAACGTGGTGACCAAGAAGAATTGGACGATATCCGGGACGGTTGCTAGCTTAAGACTTGATATTTTTCAAGTACAATAATCTTTCAGTAGTGTTCAACAATCAACAACTGTTCAGTACTTTTTTTTGCGATTTCGATTGCTTGGTTTTGTGTCACAAGTTGTAACCCTATGTGAGGTTTACGTGACAGCAAATTGGATGTAGAGATGAACATCCACAACACGAATGGCGCCAATCTTAGTATAACTTTTGGTCTTAAGCTGTTTGTTGATGGCAAACATAATGCACTATTTGAACTCAGCCATACTTCCATGTTCATACACACAGAAATACAGTCCTGGCCGCACTTAGACAATACCTTCGGAGCGATCACGCTGCCATCTTGGGCAGGGCAGCCACATGAGAGTTCTTTCGCAAAGGCCAAGGCAAAGCCGAAGGCCAAGGCCAAGGCAAGACCCGACGTGACCAGCCGCCGCGGTGGTGGTGATGGGGCTGGGGGACGACCCAAAAAGGGTGAGGATCCAGAGATTGCCAAGATCATGGTTCAGCGAGATGCATTGTTGACATCCCGAAAATGGTCAAGTGAGATTTCCGTGTTGAGCAAAAAAGTTTCACATGCACTTGAAGCTGCCAAGGGTTATGAAGGAACGGAGGAGTTTCTCGATCACTCTTTCCGTGAGATCAGAGTAGCTGTTATGTTTTGTGTTTGGGTTTCTGGTTAGAGTAGCTGTTGCATTGCAGCTGTTTTGTTTCTGGGTTTGTTTCTCCTAGCTGAGACAGCCAAATGACAACCAACACATAACATATATATATACATATGTAATATGTATATAGGTATACGTGTGTGAGTTCCTTTCAAACATTTCAAGTAAACAATAATGTATATATGTATATAAATTTTCATACAACATATATTATTATTGTTCTTTTGCATAGAAACATGCATATATAAATGTTGTCAAAAACGAAAAAAACATATCATAATATATTAAAACTATATAAAAGTAACATATAATACACAAACCATAAGATATATTATATATGATTTCATTTAACATAGAATAATATATTAAATTAGGAAGATTTGTATTTTAATATAATATATGTTCATTTAATACAATATGATGTTAAAACAACATAAAACAGTTTAACACATTTGAATATTGCATAGTGTAATATGACTTAATTCATCACAGGTTTTAAAACAAAAATGAATAAACTAATATAATATATTACAAGATGATAAAAACTTATTGTACTATTTCTTATTTTAAGACAATATATTTGTTTAAAACATACAAAGTTTTTTAATAGAATGCAATCTAGTACAATACAATATAATATGACATAATATATTCAAAAAAATCATAGAATACAATGCAATATAATCAGGATATAATATCATATATTTTAATACCAAGAAGAATATGATAAACAGCTATATAGTTCAATAACATATGATATTTCATACAATAAAACATATAATGCAATATAATATGATCAAAATATAGTTGGGTAAAATAAGGCAATGTAGTTCAATGCAATATAATATAGGGTAATATCAAATACTATTTTTTTTCTAAAATGATATGATATGATTCATTATATATATATATGTGTGTGTATATATTTGTATACTTTGCAAAACTTTAATCTGGGTTGACCTTCTAAAGAAGAACTATACCCACAAGTGACAACATGGTTTGAAAAAAGATTAACGCACAATATTTAGTAAGGATCTCTCTGGGGAAGACCAGCCCAATGTCAAAAGTAACATTTTCATCAATCTCATATCTATTACCAAAAATTATCCATAACCAAACTCTTAAAGCTTGATAAACCATAATTAAAACAAAAAAAACTATGTTTACTTACTTCGGGTTATTATCATCGTAATACTCTGCTCTGTCAGATCATATGGCATTATATGCGGTATCTTTTCTGTCAATTCATCTGGCATATATTCTGACGTTTCTGGCAATGTATCTGACATGTATTCTGACATTTCTGACAACTCATCTGGCATATATTCTGACAATTCATTGTGCACACACAAATACACACACATATATATATATATATATCACATGCAGAATATGCATATATATATATATCAAACAAATAGAATAATGAACTTTTGGTTTCAAAAGAAATATATTGTACATGCGGTAGATTTGACATATATAAGGTGTGTTTGTAAACAATGTTGTATATATATATATACAAATATCAAATATTTGCCATGTGCAACATGTTTTCCAATATCAAATATTCTACAACATGTTTTCCAGTATCAAATATCCTATTTATATATATATATGCATTGTTGATACTTCAGACAAAACATTTTTCAAACTACACGAATACAAAATATTTTCAAATATACAACAATATAAATATTTACAGTATATATATATGTTGTTTTTGAATACATCCAATATGTTCACTTATGATTATTTGTAAACAACCATACTACGCCTTTTACACACACACATATATATATATACACATACAGTGTGTTGATATATACATACATTACATTATCCATCATAAACAAATCACACATCATAAATACATTCGAGACCATGGCGCTATGCCACTACACTGAGGCTTTCTAACATTCTTATCGAGCGCTTCAAGAAGCTCGTGGCTATGGGGCCTGAAGTGGTCTCCTCGCCATCCAAGGAGAGAACCATGGTTCACGACATGGACCGTGAATCATTGAGAAATTCACTCAGCCCAATGAGCAGTGGAAAGGCACACCAGCTAGAAGCTCCAACCAAGAAGGGACTCACTGACTATGACAAGAACATGACAGGCCTTGCAGCTTCCATCCAGAAGGGGGTTAACACCTTGAATGACTTGGTGGACAAGGTCGAGCAGGAGAAGGTGAAAGAACAAGCACGTCAGGAGCGCTTAGCCAAAGAGTTAGCCAAACGAGAAGCCAAAAAAGCAAAGATGTTGGCAAAGGCTAGAGAAGAGGGCAACGCATTGGCTGGAGAAGACTTGGCCAAGGGCAATGGTGGCCCTGATGCTGCTGTGGAGGATGAGAACTCGCAGGATGGTTGGGCTTCAGATGAAGAGGATGGTATTTGGCCATTGCTGGCATCTGCAAAGGATCTCATGCTGATAAAGTCGGAAAATGTGGGTACCTTGGCATTTGGCAGGGTGCAAATATGGCTGATAGAAACTGAATTCAACAGCGAATGCTGCAACACCAATCTTGTGATTGTGACAGTGATGGGTGTCACAAGAGTAACCAAGGTTATTGGTTCTTTTTGTGACATATATCACAAGTGTTTTTATTTGATAGTCAATTATGTGCTCACTGCTCGGCCCAGCTCAGGTGACTTTGACGAGCACCCAAACATCACAAAGGCTATGGCTTTCAGCGTGACCAGTGACATCTTGGGTAAGCTCAAGGGCATCTACAACGTTGTCGAGTGCACCAAAGCGAGAAAGGAAAAACCGGATGCGGCGCACAACTTCCGAGGTGATGAGAATTTTGCTGCGGATGATCTTTTTGCTGACCAGACAGACAAGGTCAAGGAATGGTTGACCAAAATTCTTTGTGGAACAAAGGACATCCTTTCCTTAGCTGTCCAGAAGTTTCAGAAGAGTCCACACACTGATGTTCTGGAAAAGATCCTTTCCCCTCAAGTGGTTGCAGCTGGTGCTGATTGGCAGTGCTGCAACTTCAGTGATTTCATGTTTGGAAGAACCGTGGTGAGTTTGCATGGTAGCACTTTCGTTGCTGGCATTCCGTTCAGCTTCTTCAACGTGCAGAAGTCGGGAAAAAGTGTTGCCATGATCTCTGAGGAATTGGGCAACATGACCCGGTCTGCATTGATTGAGAACAACGGCTTCTATGTTTTCCTGGATATGTTCCAAGGCGTTACAATTCCACCTGGATACTTGTACTTCCAGTGCAATGTGGGTGCTATGGACTTCGGTGATGCATGCCATACTTCTGGAGGATCTGGGTGTGATTTTCTGGTTCCTTGCCTTCTTTCTTTCAGCAATATTCCACTGACTTCTGAACTTCTGAAACCTGAAATATGAACATCACCCAGGGTTTCTTTGCGAAGTTGGGGACGTTTGATATTTCTCTCTGTAACCAAGACTTGGTTTTCTTATTGTTTTCCAATATGTAACCCTTGCCTTCCCAGGTGCTCACTGGTTTGCCTCCTTTCATCCTCAAGGATTCATCAGCTATGACATCACTACGGGAAACCATCGAGAATGGCATCAAATCGATGCGCATGGATGATGAAGGCAAGGCTTTCAAAGGCCCCATCAACAAGCTGAGCTTTGCCATGCAGATCTGTTCTGCTTTCGAGGTGAAACAAGAACCGTCACAAGCCGCCACAGCTGAGGAGCAGGAACAGGAGCAAACATCTGCTTTGCCCGCTGTGCAGGATGGTTCAGTCGAGCTGCTGCGTCTTGACTACAATGCACTACCAGAATCTCGATCTGAGCTCGATGAGCTCTTCCTTCACCCGGACTTTGATTTTGAGTTGGAGCTTGAGCGTGCAAAACAACGTCCAGAGTTGAAAGACTTCTTGTATGAAGAGTACGACCCGGACTTCGTCTTCGGGGTGCCAGAGAATGATCCTGGACAAGATTTGGCCGACTTCCTGGATTGGTTGGTGCAGAAAGGTGTTGCCAAGCGCAAGACTGCAAAGAATTCAGGTCCACCAGCTGAAGATTCAGGTGAGCGGGGAAGACCAAATAATTATTTGTTTTCAGTTTTCAGTTTCAGCATTTGGTAATAGTGTCCGCCACAGAGAGTTTGTAAACAATGTCCACAAAGATACTTTTTGATATTTGATCCAAAACTTCTGTTTCAATGTCTCAGGTATGATACCATAAAATTGCATTTATACAATTGTTGCTGTTGCCGTTGCATTTTTTCAGTTTCAGGTGAGAAAGCCGATGAGAACACCAATGGACAAGATGGTATGCAGGACAAGGAGACTGAGCTTGGTCAACCAGAGAGCACTGCAGTGCCAGAGGGCAAGCCGAGCTCTGAGGTAGTTGAGAAGCAGATGGAGGTTGATCACAAGCTTCCTGCTGCAGAGACGAATGAAAATTCTGAGGCAGCTGTGGCTATGGCACAGTTGGAGGTTGAGAATTCTGAGGCAAAGACTAACATGGAAGTTGAGCCCACGTCGGGTTCACCAGCTCCACTTCCAGGCAACTCAGAGATTTCCGTTGATGCAACCACGGCCAACAATGGGAATGCCATGGGGGTTGGGGCCAAGTCCGCTTCAGCCGCTCCAGATGCAGAGCCCAAGTCGGGTTCACCAGCTCCACTTCCAGGCAACTCAGAGATTTCCGTTGATGCAGCCACAGCCAGCAATGGGAATGACATGGGGGTTGGGGCCAAGTCCGCTTCAGCCGCTCCGGATGCAGAGCCCAAGTCGGGTTCAGCTGTTCCAGATGCAGCCAACCAAGAGATTTCCTTTGATGCAGCCACGACCAGCCCAAAGGTATCGACAGAGAAGGATGATGTGAAGGATTCCCAGTTACCGACTACTACGAGCAACCGTCAGAAAGAGGCCAGGGGGTGGGCAGCATCTAGGTTTTCTCTGCTATATATAATTCTTTGCTATATATATATATAGATGTACTTATATAGTGATGTTTATGGTATATATTGTTTATATGAAACATCATGTTACTCCTCCTCCTCCTCATCGTCATCAGCCTCATCATCAGCATCATCATCATAATTATCATCATCACCACCACCACCATCATCATCATCATCATCATCATCATCGAACCAACCTTCTACATCAACAAGTTTTACACAACCCCTGCTTTGGGGCCTGTAGGCCAAAGGGAATGCCTAAGGCTGTTAACTATGAACAGTTGTTACTATTCATATTCTACTTTTTTCTTCACTGATTTGATTTGATCAAAAAACACAATCATAATGTAAGATTCCCATGGTGGAATGTCAACGAAGCCTCACCAAATATATTCTTTGGGACACTATACGGTTTACCTCATGCCTCATGTAATTTTTGTTAGATAAGTTCTTATTGATGGTCACCTGGTACATTGAGCAAATCCCACTTGGCAGATTGCACTTATAGTTTTGGTCGACATCCACACAGGTGGACAAATTCTTCGCACTGGGCTTCAAGAACGACCCCGAGTTCAAAAAGGCTCAGTCATTGCCTGTGGAGGCTCCCAAAGATCAAACGGCACCAAAGAAGAAAGGAAAGGAACCAAAGGCCAAGGTGACCCCTAAGCAAGTTGCCAAGGCTGCTTCGAAGAAAGCAAGTGCCAAAAAAAATGTCAAATAGGTAGTTCTCATCTACAAAACATGCATGTTGAAATGCATGTGCTAGACATGTTGCTGGATACCACCTTAAATGTACAGATTCATGTGGACCAGCAGCATCGGTCCAAATTTTGAAAAGACACACCGATACTCCGAGATCAAGCAAGAAAAGAGAGAGAAATGGTGCAATCCAAGCATTTTGCTGAGCCGATGTGATTTTCCTGGTTCCAGGTCATATATATTTCCAATCCAATCCCTTGACTATTACCAACTTGGTGTTCAACTTCCGCTGTTTACGTCAACATCTGAGGCATTTTTTTTCCCCCCTGCATGTTTTTTGACATGGCCTGAGGGGTGCTGGTTTTCAGAGTTTGAGTTTTTTTTGGGTTGATTTTTATCCAAAAAAAATATATATATATGAATTTAGCTAATTAGTTTTTTGATATATGCAAAAAGTTCACCCGTAAACCGAAATGAGCTCAATGGCCCTAGTAACTACATCATCTCTTGAACGTGGTTTCTACCTTAGCTGTGAACATCACAGCGGAGTCGTATACTTTTGGAAGCTCAAAAGTCTGCATCGGGTTGGGCCAGTTTGCGACTCAGATGTGTCGTGCCAATATATATATATCTCTCTCTCTACATATATATATATATTATTTATTTATATCTTGTGAAGAAAGTTTTCACACGCACGCTAGGTCATTGCCATGAACTTCTACGTATCAATCTTGGCTCGATGTCAGTGAGACCAATCCCTTTTTAAAAAAACACAGCTCTACCGCTGCCCCAACACCTCCTGCCACATACCAAAGCATGGTTGGATATGTTTAGATTGTTTTTGCCATCAGGATCTTATTTGAAGATGTTTTCGTAGCTGATAAATGCCTTGCCCACTTCTGCTCAGGGAGCCCGGCTGGTGACGAACGTCAAGTTCAACCGCAGATCCTGCCCACAGCTCCCAGCACAGGTAGCAAACCGAAGGAGTTTGAGATGGGATGGGACGAAACTCTCTTCCGACCATGGCGAAAGGAGATTCTATCAGCTAATCAGAGAGGCCCTATTGAACTTGGCCTTTCACCCACCTATGACCCGAATGCAGACCCTGATGCTCCCATAGTCTGCAAGTTCAGGGATGGAACGTCCCATGAAGTGGCTCACATCACCATGGTTCCTCACCATGCATTTGTACAATCTAACAATGATCTTTTCCTATTACCGTCACATCTTAGCTTGTACATATGGGATTGAGATGTGTGCAACATTGACCCTCTAAAGGAGTCATTGGTTTTCAGTTTGAACCCCTGTGTTGGTGAGTTAGTTTTTAAGCAATGTGCTGATTAAAAAAAACAGTTTTTTCTTATCAAATTGATGGTCTAATGTCGGGTCTTCGCTCAGGCTGATTTGGGGGAAAGAACCGGCAAGAAGCGCAGCACCGGTGCCTCTGCACCGCGCGTTGGGGCTTCTCCTGATGGCGAGGCTGCGCAGGACACTGATTGGCTTTCCAAGCATCCGGATTTGGAGGACTTATGGGCTGATGCATATGTTGAAGATGAGAAGCTAGGCGCATTGAAAGCATCCCTCAAATCCCAAAAGGGTAGAAATTCCATCGCGTCCTTGCAGTTCAAGCCAAAAGGGGGTACCACATTTTCCCAAAAGCTTCAAGTGGTGGTCAAGCCACCAGAAATTTGTGGTGTGGATGCGATGGCGATCCTCAAAGTCATCATGAGTCTAGTCCTTGATGGTGACAACGACATCAACGATCTTATGGGCATACGCAACAAATTGGTGGACCTGCATACATCAGGCAAATTCTTGAACTATTTGTATGAAACTTGGGAAGAGAAAACCACTATGCACACTGCATACGAAAAGCGCTTGGAGATGGCAAAGGATTCTGGGTCAGGCTGGGTCCTACGGGTCTTGCGGGCCATGTCCGGCATCCCCCCTATACAATTTAAAGATGATATAGGTGGGGTCTTCCTTAGCTTGTCATGTTGGTGTCAAGTCCAGAAATAGTGAGGAATCTATTTCAACGGTTTGTTTTGATTTATGGGTTTGAAACTGATATCATCCCATTCTGGGCCCACGTCTTGACCCACAGATTTCAAATCATCAAATGCAACTAAGCCCACAACAGGTTTTTAACACTTCAAGGGGTTGGGAAGTGCTTTGTTTTTGTGATCCTCTCCTGGGTTAATTCCTTGACCCCCTTCCGGGGCAAACACGCTATAAATGTTCCAAGTAGTGCCTGCGTATCCACCTACCAAAGCAATTTCATCTTGACAGGTATGCTTTGAGAAAATGTGTTTTTGGCCATGTCCTAGAACCTCCTCTAGAACAAGCCAGAAAACAGTTAGGTTTCCTATGGATGCATGCCCCAAGCTCCCACTTGCTGTGGCTGGCCTCTGCAATTCAGGCGGCGACGTGGCGACGGAAGATGTCAAGGGCAAGCGACCTGGAGATGAGCGCGGTCGTGGCTCTACGGATTGAGAGACTCCGGGATTGGGTCAGATTTTGTTTGAGCATAGCCGAGCTACCACCATAAGATTTTGCGTCCCAAATCCTCTATTCCGATTTTTCACAACACAATGTTGATTGTCTCTTGCATTGTCAAAGGGGTGCTATGCTTGGCGATGGAATTTTTCGAGATCGCATACGTGGAAACATTTGGAATCACATGCTACGGAAAAAAAATCAAAGACCGTCACAACTGCTTCGGAAAGAGATCTACCTTCAATCGTTCCTGCAAGGTGGTGGCCCCTGTTTCCTCCCCTCCTCTACATTGACCCCCTCTTTCTTTGTAACTTCTATTTTCTATATGTATACATCTCTAAAAAATCACCATGTCCTTCTCCAGACTTGTTCTGATCTGAGAATCAAACTCTTGGCACGATACCTTGTGGGCCACAAGCCTGTCAAGAAAGGCGGGTTTTGGGGACCACTGGACTAGCTAAGCTGTGGGAACCCAAATTGCAAAAAGTCATTTCATGAACTACCTTTTGGGCATCCATTTCGGGAGCGTTACGGCTTCCATTTTGGGAGCGTTATTGCTTCCATTTTGGGAGCGTTACCGCTTCCATTTTGGGAGCGTTACGGCTCCATTTTGGGGTTCACTATTTTGGGATGTTTTCCCTAAATTGATTCTTCTCAACCAACCCCCAAAAAATTAACAACGCACAAGCAAAAAACAAACTCAACCGAAATTGTTTTGGTTGAGGCTTCTTGATGAGGCCCTAACGCTTTCACCAAATTTCACTGGACTTTGAAGAGTGCGTTACGAAGGTTGTGAAACATGCCAAAGCCACCGTTTGAAGTTAAGCAAGGCCCAAAGCGGTCAGGCTTCAAAAAAGATTCTGTAATTCCTATACTTCATGATTCTGTACTGCCACTTCTTTCTTGTCCTCCCTGCCTCTTCCCCTCACGCTCTTATCTTCTTTCTTTGGGCCCACATCCTTGCAGGAACGGGTAGGTACAGCAACTGGGCTGGCTTCAAACTTGAACCCCAGCAAGTTAGAAAAGCATGAATTTTAATACTTAAGAAAACATAGTACTTGGGGGGCTTGGTGGGGTCCAAGTTTGAAGGCTAGCCGATGGCAAATAGCCATATTCCATATCGTGGAGGGGAGTCGGGGGCCCATGTGGGTCATGTGATGTCAAGGACATCCAATTTCTTTGGAAAAATGCTGCTTGACTTTTAGGTAGATCTATGGTGGTTATTATGGGTTTGGCACCCGTATGCAAACTTATGAGGGCCTATTTGATTACCTTGTTACCTGGGACAAAATTGGATCCCTTATCTGGGACAAAATTGGATCCCCTTCGGATATGGATCTACGGTGCCGTAGCCGGGGCAGTGAAATACCCAACTATGATATTTTTGACAGTTTTGATTAAAACCAACAAAAAACATAGCGATGAGGGGTCGATGAGCCCATAGCGATGAGCATCCGATGAGCCCCCCTGATTTACCCCAAACTGGCTTACTTGGAAAGAATTGGATGGACCGATGAGCCCCCAAATTTTTTTAGCACGGATGGCGATGAGGGGGTCCGGCCATATAACCGATGAGCATGTGATGAGCCTACCAAAAGCAGCCGAGCCCAGCTACCTTGGCACCACCAGACCCTGCCCAGCAGCAGACCTTGGCACCATTTGGAGCACCAATGGCAAGCCCAGCTGCCTTGGCGCCAGTTGGAGGATCCCTGGGACCCGTGGCCTTGGCTACTTTCACCCCAGTTGAACCACCAAGGCCAATGGAAGGACATGCGCAGACCTTGGCCGCACTTGAGGCAGCAGCTCCGGCCGACACAGCAGCAGTGTATCATGGAAAAGGCGCATCAAAAGGCATGCCACAGACTCCAGCCGCGGCACTGTTAACAGCTAGCTTGGACAGCAAGGCAATAGGAGCACAAGTGCAAGCCGCCCAACCTGCAGTATTCCCACCAGCGATTCAATCCGCCCAGGCATCAGTGCCCAGAATTACAGCAGGAGAAAGCCCAACCACATTCGCTCCACTTGCAAGACCCAAGCCCATGGAAGCACAAGCACAGACTCTGGCAGCCCCCCCAGCTTTCCCTCCAGCAAGTCAAGCCGCCCACACGGCAGCAAGCCACGCTACCTTTGCGAGTCAAGCCGGCAATGTGACTCAAAGCACACCGATAGCATTGGAAAGCCCAGCCACCTTGCCCCCCCCTGGCGAACCAAAACCCTTGATGGCAGCCCAACCAGCAGCTTTCCCGCCAGCGAGTGAAGCCACCTCCACACCACCGCAATTGGCTTCACCGGAAAGCACCCTTGCCTTGGGAAGACACAAGCCAATGGAAGCACAAGCATCGACCGTGATGACAGCCCAACCAGAAGCTTTCCCACCAGTGAGTCAGGCCGCCAATTTGGCTCGAAGCACAGCAGTGACTGCACATCCAGCACCTGGCCAAGAAGGTGTTCCTGGACCAGCAGGACGTGGAGAGGCATCGGTGCCACCTCCACCTAGCTTTGT